GTCTTGAAGGCAGAGTTATTGTTAATTTGTTTTTTTTCTACTTATATATCTTTCACTATTAGTACTGTGTTTAGTCCCACCATTAATACGTCTTGTCCTCTCTAAGAGGAGTTTGTTGTTACCTTTGTTGTCATCGTCATCGTCTCTACCATATTACTTGTTTTTTTTTAACTAGAAATGTATAGGAAGAGAAGTACTCTATATTTTTCTACTTGTATGTATGATACTATTTATTTCATATATAGAAGATTATGGTATGGTTTATATATTTCCTTTTGATTACATGTAAAACATGAGTCCAGTAAGTTCATGCAGTAGAGATTCAAATCTCTGCAACCTCTTTTTGTTAATATTTTTGTGAAGATCTCGAAACTATAAAACAAAAACCCTAGAAATCCAGTCAGTGGCGGATCATGACCTAACATAAAATTGTATTTGTGTTTACATGATACAATATTGTTAATATATTCCTAGATATTTTGGATGGAATTACAAAAATAGATAAAGGGAAGGAAAGGGGAGAAAGATTAGCATGTTTTAAGTGAGGGAGCAGTGCATGGATTTCCTTTCATTCTTTTCCCCCTGGTTTTGAAGCGATACGGGGAGGGAAGAAAGGGAATCTGGTCTGCTGGGAGCAGCACTCGTCAGAACAACTGTGTGGCACAGTGAAGAAGAGGTGATCAGAAGAACCAGTTCTTTTGTTTTGTCTGAAAATTATTTTGGTCAGTCATTGGTTTTGTCTTCACGTAATTCGAGAAAGTTGAGATGCCAAAGTCATGATTTGATCATTATTACTGTATCATTTATCTTCCCTATTCTTCAATATAAAGTGTTATCCAATCATATGCTTTTTTCTCATTCAAGTAATTATTATGTTTTTTTGGGGGTCCAAAACATCTTATTTTTATATGTTTCAACAATTTTATGGGGTTGCATTCACGTAAAAAAGTTTGATCCTTGTCGGAACATTTTAACTGAGTGACAGTCAACCCTCAGCTTTCAGTAAAAAGTAAAAAAAGAAATGCCTAACAGTTGGAGTATAGTTTTGGGTTGGATTAATTTGAGTTTTAAAATTTATTCGGGGTTAAGTCAATGATAAGATTAGATTGTGCATGTGGAACATTCAGGTTTGAGGTTTATGTATTAGTTTAGAATCATTTTAGGGTTTGATCACTTTAGGCTCACGTCATTTCCAGTTATTTGTCATAATTCTTCTAAGTTTAGATTATTTAGTTGTTTTGGATTTGAATCAATTTTAATTTGAGTTATATATGGATAACATGCTCCAATTTTCAACATTTTTGTTTCCATAGCAGGGTGTCTCTTTATCGATCATATTTGATTATATGTTACGTAATTTTCTTGATTCATCTACTAAGCTTTATTACTATTCCATTATAATGACTAAATGGTTTAGTTTATAATTACTTTAGCTTTTGTAGTTGCAAATGGTGGATGGATGTTCTCTTATTCCAATTCTTGCATTTTTAAGGGACTGAGTGATGTTATCACCCTGCAATTTCATCCATATTTCACATAAATATTTGTATTCATTAGTAGCATCGAATATAATTTACAATTACGGAATAAGAATCTCTTTGTGCAATTCGCTTGAATAAAATAAGAGCCCCCAAAATTTTTAATTGCATTGCTTTTTTTAATGATCGTTTAAATGCTTAGCTTTAAAATTTAAATTTCACGACAAATTTTGTACAATTATACGAGATGGACCGTGAGAGAGATTAGGCTATTGCAGTCATACTTCTGAAAATTTAAATATTCACATAGTTTAAATATATATTTATATATTAAAATGTTTTTTAAAATTCCTTTTATAAAAGAAAACGTACGCACATCTTTAAAGAGTTTTAATAGTCGGGCTAAAAAGACAGTTTCGACGATTAGATAACTAATAAATATGAAAGGAATGAAAAGTGAAGGAAACGGTTATAAAGAGATGATAATAATATTTTGGGTAAAATATTGAATTTTATCTATTGACTCATTTATACCATTTGACTTTTTATTTTATTTTTGGGGTGTATCTATTTTGTCACTAAATTTTTAAATAATTTTCTTTTTTACCACTATACTTTCCGACCGCCGTCGACAGCCAAGCATCGTCTTTTATAGGTCATATGTCTCGGTAAGGTCGATACCAAAATGTTAGTATTTCACTCTTATTTCTTTTCGTAGAATTAGTTTTCCATGAAATCCACTCAAAATCGACGAAAGTCCATTTAAAAACTAAACATATTAATACTTTGATCTCTTTTAATGACCAACCAAATGAGACTAGTTTTGAGGTACGTTGTTCGTTTTCTTAAAATAATACTTTTCACTGTTCATATTTTTTTTAACAAACACATAATCATGTAAATCTAATAAAGTCTCAAAATATCTAATAAATGGTAGATTTTTTGTGTTTAATTTCATCGATTTTGAGTGAATTTCATGGAAAACAAATCATATGAGAAGAATGAGGAATCAAATGAACAACGTAGATTTTTTCCATATTTGACACAGCAAACATTTCCTCTACTTTTTTTTCTTGTAATATTTCTTCGAATTGAACAACACCAGTTGAGTTCCATTTCCTCATTTTAGTTGTATGGAATTTTGAAGGTCCTATTAATATTAGGACAACATCTACTTTTAGATTTATACCAGTTCAGATAAAAAAAATGATCAATTCTTTTTCTAGTAGAATGATCCTTCCACTAAAAGAATAGATCTTTTAAGAAAAAGATCAAACCCTCAATTTTAAGTTCGAGTAAACTTATTTAAAGTTGTATTTTAAATCCTCTAAAATTAATTTCTAACCTTTATTACTTACATGAATAATATTTTACAAAAATAATTCCTAAATTTCGGTATCACAATTAACGATAAGTTCTAACCCATTTTAGTTGGGGTTTTAACATAAAGCTTGTTTATACTTTTAATTTCATTTATCATGTATGTATGCTATATTTGACATATTCATGTCGGTACATAAATTATTTACATGTTTAGCATTTAGACCCTAAAAATAGCTTCTTCTTTTTTATTAATTCAGGGTAAATACAATGTAGTAATTGTTTACAAATAATTGTCAATCACTTAGCATTAAATGTTTATATTTTTAGTATTTATGATGTTCGAATTCAATACCTTAAAAAATAATAACTCATTTATTATTGAGATCACTTGATTCGTAAGGTTAACCAGATTTGTTGGAGATTGAGTTTAACATAATTTTCGTGGGAGAAAAACTATTTCGGATAAGTGAGAATAAATTTGGGTTGAATCTGACTTTCAGGTAGTTGTTTGGGTAAACTAGACCTTAGTAGGTTGGGCTGACCTAGACAAAAGTTGGGTTTTGTCTTAGTTTTGGGTGGACCTGGATAAATGTAGAAGCCAACAATGAAAACAACTTAAAATTAGTATATAAAAATTATATTAAACATTTTTATTTACTTGATATAGTATTTTAAAAATATTTATTAGAAAAGATATTTTTGACAAATTTTAAATCTAATCTTAATCTTATTTGGAAAGGAGTGGAACAAGAGACTCTAAAGGAAGAAAGGGGAGTGCTCCTAGTAGACCTAGAATCCATAACCTAAAAAAATATAAACAATAAAGATGAGTAGCTTGACCAACCGACCAAATGTATTTGTTCTCTTATAAAATAACTTTAACACTTAATGAAATAATATCAAAAAGAATAAAATAATACTACTTTATAAAAACAAAATCTAAAAGTTTAAAATTAATATAAAAATTAAATCGAACCAAACTACTATGAATGGTCCAAAAATATCTGACTACTGAACATTAGTGATAAAGAAGTTAAAAGTCCATGAATGAGATGAAGAATGTCAAAAATCATTAAGCTCATAAGGAACAAAATACAAGCGGTCAAGAACTCCTTCGAGTTTGAGTTCTTAAGAACATATTATTAATGTGTTGCAGACATCCTTAATTCTTGTTATGGAAAAGAGTAGATAGTGGCGAACAATGGGAAATTGGAATCTTAGAATCATCTGCTAAGCAAAAACAAAAACCACCAACCAAAGAGCACAATATCTAAAAGAAACCCTTAAATAAGGTGTGTCATTGGCTAAACAAATACTCACGAGAAAGGAGAACTCTAAAAAGTAACTTTTTAGGTAAGAAACGCTTGTCAATGCACCTTTTCATCCCATTTTATTAATCAAGAAAGTGGAACAAGCGAGTTTTCATTGATTAAGAAAGAGCTCACGAGATTTATAGTTAATCGTATTGTAGCTGTTTGCAATTTGTGAACGAAATATAACTAAAACAATATTAACATAAAATATACATAGGAAATGAGATTTAACGTGGTTTAATTTTATTTTTTTACGAGTAAAAAGATAATAATCCACTGTAAATATAAAGATTATGAAGAGTACAAATATATGTTATCTCATATATATCAAAGTACAATATATATATACCAAAATAAGGTATATCCCAAAATACCGTCCTAATATCCTTATCAAACATATCTCTATAACGTAAACCTCAAAAGTTGTAGAGGCTATAAAAACAATTATATCCTTGTGGTATTTCGTGTTTGTTGTGTTTTCTATTGTGGTTGGTTTTGAGTTGAGTGTGTAGGTGTTTTATTGTTTTTGGATGATGATTGTCAGATTGTATCTAATTGAGTTGTACCTAGTTGTGTTGTACTCTTTTCTTCCATATAGATTTAGGAAAATTTTTAAGAGACATACAACTTAGATTTTGAGATGATTTGTTTAAATCCTTAATAAAATCATAATTGTCGAAGATTTATTGTTTAAATAAGAAATCCAACTTAATTTATAATTAAAAATTGAGTCAATATATAAGGTTTATTGTTATTTAAATCCGAGAAGAATATAATCAAATAAAATTTATTTGTCATTACGAACACTTTATACATGTCCTTTGGTGGGGAATATTATCTATAAAATCCAACCAAGCATGCATTTCCATTTTGTCAAAATCCAACATCAACCTCTTACAATAACTTGGTATTCAATACCCTTTCCAGCTTTAAGAAAAATGAGTAACCACCAGGGAAGATGCAGTTCAAGCTCAGCCATAGTTGTTGCTTGCACTCTCATTTTGGTCTTAGCTCAATCGGAGATCACTCAGGCTAAAACTTTTACAGTGGGTGATGCTTCAGGCTGGAGTTTTAACGTTCAAAGTTGGACAAAGGGGAAAAAGTTCAAGGCCGGAGATGCTCTTGGTATCAATTGAATGAATATATATAAGGATAAGATCCAATTACATTGTAACATTTTCTAATTTTACACAAATTTAAAATTGTTGGATGAGTGGAAATAGACGAACGAGATTATTATAACAAAATGAGAAGATATTCACTGTAAAAGAAAAATAAGAATTAATCTCAGCCTTCTATTTTTACTCATCCAACAATAGCAAATTAAATAGCTAGTGTTTGAGTTATATATATTTAGTTAGCTGATTTAATGCTTTGATGCAGTGTTCAATTACGATCCATCGGTGCATAATGTTGCAGCAGTTGATATGAATGGCTACAACAGTTGCTCAGCTTCTCCAAGCTCTGCGGTTTACGGCAGTGGAAATGATGAGATAAAACTGTCGAAAGGAAGAAATTATTTCATTTGCAGCATTCCAGGCCATTGTGATGGGGGGTTGAAGATTGCTGTCGATGCTGCTTGAAAGTGGAAACAATGTCAATTCATCCATACCCAATTTAATCCTGGTTGGTGGATGGTGCATGTGCTTTAATAAATAATAGGTTATCTTTTATTTTATCTTCTCTTCCAACTACTATTTTCACTAGCATATATATGTATAATGTTTATCTATAATAAAATCAAGATGTGTTTTGTAACACCCTTAACCCGTATATGTCTCGATATACGAGTCAAAGATGTCACATCAACTTGAAACATTTACTGAACTGAAATTTCCCTAAAAATTTGTTTCTTTGAAAACACTCTTATTCTAACTTTAAAAATCTATTTTAAAGTATATCTCAACTTATAATTTATTTCTTTATTATAAGAAAATAAAATCATTTGTTAATCAGTAATTTTACTAAACCACGTCTTTTCGTAAAATCTTTTAAAAACATAATAATGTAATAAATTTTTGTCACACATAGATACTGATAAAACTAAACTAAGTAAAATAAACTAAAATAATTCTAGTTTACTATTACAAATCATTTAAAATAAATACGATAAATAGAAACTACTGACATAATTATACATGCCACTATAAGTTAAAAGAAATATCATAAATGTCTTACTGATACTGATGATATGTATGTCTTTCCAAAAAGATGCTCCGATAGCTCCTTACTGATCGTACTTATCCTTATTAGAACCTACGCAGGAAAATCATTACGCGCTAAGTATAACTTAATGAGGCAGTAATAATCTAAGGTGAGAAAAATCTGAAAATATCATAAACATAAATAAAATAATTCAACTTAAAACATTAAATTGGAAAACCAACTTATCCAAGTCAATTTCTTCACTGAGACCTGAAATTTCTTTTTAAATCATGAACTCATGAAAATTCTGATAAATCATATTTGATAAAATAAGCATATCATGTTTTCTGTCAACTGAAAATCATTCACAACTTGCATATTCATTTTCATAGCCCAATGAATATTTATGAGAACATAAGATACGTGAGTGTTGAGTTAATCGATCGACGAAATCGGCCAAAAGGGGGTGAATTGGCAATTAAAAATTTGGTGGAAACTTTTGCAGAAAATTGAAAGTAATTGCACAGTGATTTACAGTGGTTCGACTTTCTCAATCAAAGTCTACGTCCACTACCTTAGCTATCCACACTAAGGATTTTCCAACAAATTCACTAATTTGTTCTTTCTTTTGAGGCCAAAGAGATAACCTTACAACTCCCTCAAGAATATACCCCAATTCTTGAGAACACTCTTTCTCAAAGAGAATATTACAAATTCACAAACTTAATGAAAAACCTCACAAGGCAAATGTGTTTGCACAATTCTAGAACAAAGAAAGAACACTCAAGAATAAATACAATTGAGCACAATAAGTGTTCTTGAAAGCAAAAATGAATATTGAATGAAAAATAGGCTTGAAATGCTCAAACTTGAGGTTTGATGTTTTCTCTTTGATTTTCTCTTGATTCTTGATGATTGTTGTTTCTTGTTGTTGATCAATGGCTTCTAAGCTTGTTTAAATACTCCTTGAATCACTTCTGAACGTTGGGGATCTTTAATGAAGTCATTAAAGCCGTAATTGTGTGAAAACAATTAATAAAATCAGTTGGGAGCGTGTGTGCGTCGATGCATAGGGCTAGTGCATCGGTACACTATGTGTAAAATTCAAATATTTCGACCGTTGGAACACTTAGTGCATTGGTGCACTAAGGGTACATCGATGCATAAAATGCATTTGATGTTTTAAAATAGCCTGAGTGCATCGATGCATGGCTTGTGCATCGATGCATAAAATGCATTCGATGTTTTCATAAAAACCTGAGTGCATTGATGCATGGTATGTGCATCGATGCATAAAATGCATTTGATTTTCAATTTATTCAATGGTGCATCGGTACACTCTTTTGAAAGATTGATTTTAGGCTCGTTTTTGGTTTTTGTGAAAATTGTTTCAAAAATATTTTAAGATTAAAACACAATTTTACACTTTAGTAAGGATTGAAATTGATATTTGAAAGACTTGGAGTAATATTTTGATATTCGAGTAATTAAATCAAATATACTTAGAAAATCATTTGTAAAATCTTAAAATTCATTTAACTTAATTTGTTATATCGAAACATCAAAATGTTTTCAACAGTGAGTAAGGTGCACACTATGCACAACACTATGTAAATCGTAACTGATATTTAGATATGATGCACTTCAGTGCCATCATAACCTGAATAAGCACCAACAGTGCTGGACATTAATACACGAATGTATCAAAGCTGATATGATAACATTGATATAAGAATGTACCAAAGCTGATATGATAACATTGATACACGAATATACCAAAGGTGATATGATAACATTGATACACGCATGTATCAAAGCTGATAATACTCAACTAATAGCATGCCAAGTGTACCAACAATTCTCACTATTACACACACAATGGGCTGACGTATCATAATAATTCTATCATAAAAATATCATGCTTGGGTAGTTCATACCCTAAATCATTCATAAAAATGATATAGGATATTATAAAAATATTCTTTATAAACTTTATAAATCATGCTGTAAATTGAAATGAGGTTGACTTATCGCAAGTCGTCATCGATCAAAATAATTAAATAAATAGCAGTACTCACCTTTGCCTCACTACAAAATTTGTATATAATAATCCTAGTCACGAGCTTTGTCATTTCCTTTCGAATCGTTCGAATTGCTAGATTTAACGTAGTCTGACAATACCAAATTATAACACAAAAATTGTTTGAACTACATATTAGTATCGTACTAATATAATCTCATTTTAACATTTGAAAATCTATAAAACAAAATCGATAACTAAATCGATATCAACCAAACTCATAACTCCATTATAACTTCAAACTTATCAAAACATTTATGCAATTCCATAAATAATTATTCCCAACATGATTCTTCAACTTTTACCAATAATAAAATCAAACCACATATTTTAATTTCTTTCTAGAATCCAACTCAACTTTTCCTTTAATTCATAATGGTCCTTCGCCAATATGATAATTGTACATTAATTACAAAAATTTCAGTACTTGAATAAAATAACCCAAATAATACTTCTTCATTTAAGAACTTACAAACAAGTCCCCAAAGTTTTGGAACCTTTCGAATTCCACCATCTAACCATTAAAACGAATTCTTTTAGAATTCTTCTCAACATTTCCAATTTATTCAAAATGGTATCTTGCCATTTAACTTCAATTCCAAGCATCCAAAAATATACTCAACATTTAAACATTACTCTTCATCTTCTAATCCATTTCAACTTAAATTCTAAAATTTCCATATTCAGACAACTTACACTACCTCTAAAGAATCAGTATTCTGTATTTATATACACACTGGAATTTAATTTTGTTTCTTCCGTTGAAAACTATACTCGAATAAGAATCTACCCATATAAAGAACTCCTTCTAATTCATTATGTACAATTTATGGTGAATTTTCAAAGTTGACTGACAGAATATGTTTTGTGCCGAATCTGCTGCCCGTTTTTCTGACCTTTCCACGGATAAAAATTCATATCTTTTTGTATATACATTGAAATTGATCTCCGTTTATTTTAAACAAAACTAGATTGATATACTAACACAATATATAAAAATCATCTCCAAATAATTTTTATAGAATTTCTGGTGAATTTTCAAACTCATTTCTAGATTCAAAATCTAAATTGTTTTCATTAACTTCATCCTTAAGTTCTTCATCAATTCTTACAACCAATTCTTTAAAATCACTTAACTCTTCATAATCCCTAAAAAACAAGAAATCAACATCCCCTTCATCAACTCAAGATGAACTTGAACATAAACCCTAGTGATATTCATGTCAAAACGTAGCGAATTGAATGTAGAATATTTTTCTAACTACACCGAAGTTTAATTCTCAAGAAAATAACTTCAAAAATGAAAATAAAAAATCTTACATATTTTAACTTGAGAGTTTCATCCTTGGTGAAGAAAAAAAAGCTGAAAATGGCTTCATTATCTTGAATATTCTAATATAATACTTAATATATTTGGTAATATTTAATTTAATTGAATTTAATATTCAATTAATGAAAAATCTCAAAAATATCCTTAATAAATCTTGAAAATTACCAAATGCCATTGTCATATCATCCATTAAAATATTCTTTGGTTAATGATAAATTAACTTGACTTTGAATTTCGAATTTGGCCATAAAATTTTCAAAAGTATCATTTTAATCACTAAAATTCCACTGTTCGGACAAATCTGAAAAGTTGCATTTTTCTGAGCAAAATTTCTATGATATAAAATATGAAAATAATTTTTTTAGTTAACCCTTATTCCCATATGTAATGGGGTAAGGGGATAAACTATAAAAATAATATTTCTAACATCCTTTAAATTTTCGTAAAATTTCGGCTCGATCCGATTCCAATACCGTCTTTACTGCTTTCTAGCTTTTAACATAATTCCCGTATCAAAAATTTGTTTCTCACTAAAATCTCTATTTTAATCTAAACTGTTAAAATATATAACTTTCCAAAATTACAATTTTGGTCCTTAAACTTTTTAAACTTTATATTTTAGCCATTAAACTTTCAAAACTTATATTTTAGTCACTAGACAAATTTTGGGGTATTACATGTTTCCTCACTGTAATTTCAATTTTATTATAAAGAAGTATTAACCAAGCTATATCCATGATTAAATAAAAGTGATTAAATGAATGATTGTTAGTTCTAGAGGTCCCAAATTTGAGTTACTGTAGTATATTTAAGCATTCATTGTCAAATGATTGAAAATCTTTACAACAGATACTATCACATGAAAGCTCCCTAAATTAATAAAAAAATTATTATGAAGAATAGTAATTATCCCATTTCTTGATTCATTTATTGATTCAACTATAACGGTTCACTGCTTAAGATTGTTAAAACTCGAAATTACATTTGTGAAATTTTTAAAAATTAATAATGACATCTGGTTTTATTATAGAAAGAGCAAATTAATACTCAAAATTACAAAAATTAAACTAATCTCAAAATTCAAATATTTTTTAAATCATCAAAGTGCACGAACTATTCACAGAAAAAAATCATAAAAAAGAACGTTAAAAACACAACCAAAAAATTCATAAAGAAGTTGTTGACATTGAAAAATAAACATCGTC